CACATGGGGAGGCGGAGCAGTTGGATCTCAGTGAGGCCAGTCTGGTCTTCAAAGAGAGTTCCAGGACAGCCTCCAAAACAATACAGAGAAACCCTGTCTCACAAAACAAAACAAAACAAAAAAAAAAACAAAAAAAACAAAACAAAAAACCAAAAAAAAAAAAAAAACCCCAACAAACCAACAACAACCCCCTTCAAAAGATTTATCAAAATTGTCATTTGTCTTATAACATTGAAGTACTATTCAGCATGTTAATGAAAACACTTGTAGACCTATGTGTGTTACCTACTGCCTATGAGATTGAAAATATATTTGCTTGACTGATACAGAGAAATATTGGTAAATTGTCTACCCAAATGCTTACTTTAAACTAGGCAGAACAGATAAAAATTCACTCTCAGTCTTTTATTGAATTGACTTTTTTTTTTTTTTTTTTTGGTGACAGGGTTTCTCTGTATTGTTTTGGTGGTTATCCTGGAACTCTCTGTAGACCAGGCTGGCCTCGAACTCACAGAGATCTGCCTGCCTCTGCCTCCTGAGTGCTGGGATTAAAGGTGTGCGCCACTAATGCACGGCGTTTGGTTTGTTTTTGATTGGTTTGTTTTTGATTGTTTTGTTTTGAGCAGGTTCTGAGGAAGCTCTGTATCTGAAATGCTTAGAGATGTGTGCCACCATGCCCAACTTTCTGTGGTCTCACCCATGTGCTTGACACCACCTAATAACTCACTCCTATTTTAGTATTTGTTTTTGAAGCTTGATAAATAAAGCCATTTAATATAACTTAAGATTTACCTTAACTCTAAGTTACTTCTCTGGAAGAATTTCTAATAAAAAATATCAGGAACTGGTTAAATGATTGGGTCATATAGCTACTTGAAACTCAGAGTTTCACCATCCAAATCCATGTGTGGCATGATAGCTCTGTCACATAAGCAGAGAGCAAAACCAGTCTGGGGACAGAGGTTGCCAGTCTAGAACACTTGCTACTCTTTCAGAGGACCCAGTTCAGTTTCTAAAAATTAGATTTTTTAAAGAAACAGAAAGCAGTTTATTATACAAAATTATATTGCTAAATAAGCCATAACTACCCAATAAGGACAGTGATATAAAATTTTATCTGATTTCTGTGTTTTATATCTCCAGTTCTTGTATAATTATACCCATAATTTATTTTCTTCACAAAGATTCTGGGTTGCAATTTCAGTGTTCACATTGGCACCCTTTTTTCCTGGAACCATTAAGTTTTATTCTTAGTTTGGAGACAAACACTAGGATTTGCTAAGAACTTTAAGCATCCCAGCTAGGATGTGTTGGCTCACACCTTTCTTTAGTCCCAGCACTTGGAGGGCAGAGGCAGGTGGATCTGTGAGTTCCAGGACAGCCAGGGCTACACAGAGAAATCCTGTCTTCAGGAAAATAAAACAAAACAAAAAAATCTTAGTCGTCCTAATCATCTGTAATAAGACAGTAAATATGTCACCAATACCCTTATTATAGGGATGAAGAAGCATTCTGTTTCTTTCAAAACTATGCTTTAATTTTATGACCTGTTTATCATAAGATTAAAAAGTTATGTGTTATAATAAACCAGTGACCCTGGCTAAGATGGGAGTTAGGTATTTCACGTGTAGTGTGCTTACATAAACTCTTAGATATCTGTCTCATAGACAGTAAAACAGGGAAAAATCGCATAACTAGTTAGTGACAGAACATAAACCCACATTTTTGCCTCACTTTTGTGTAAAAGGTAGGTAATTGGGCAAGGATCTTACTTTGCCTCCTTGGTAATAAGGATTAAACCCAGGGACCTTACAAAGCATGGGAGGCAAGTACTCTGCCAACCCTTGGACAAGGAATTTTTTTGGTGTGTGTGTGTGTGTGTGTGTGTGTGTGTGTGTGTGTGTGTGTGTGTGTGTGTGTGTTTAACAGCTGGGCTTTGTGGCACATGCCTGTAATCCTAACACCATTTGTGTTGCAATGATCTCTCTGGGTTTTGATATGCCACATTATCCCAGTTCAAAAGAAAATGAACACATGCCCATTAGAGACATGCAAGATACTTTGTGAGTTACCATTTTTTATTAGTTTGGGAATGGTGTATATACATGTTGATGTGGGTGCAAGTGCATTTGTGACACCAAATATTGTCTGCTACCCTTCTTCCTACCCTACTTCCCCCAGAAGAGTCATTAACTTTGTGATTTGGGTAGTGATCTGCCTTTTTACTTAAAATGACTTATTTATTTTTATTTTATGTGCATTGGTAATTTGCCTGCTTGTATGTTTGTGTGAAAGTGTCAGATCCCCTGGAGGTGGAGTTACAGGCAGTTTGAGCTGTCTTGTGGGTGCTGGGAATTGAACCCAGGTCCTCTTGAAGAACGGCCAGTGTTCTTAACTGCTGAGATCTGCCTTTCTTTTCGTCTTTTTAGTTTTTCAAGACAGGGTTTTTCTGTGTAGCCCTAGCTGTCCTGGAACTCACTCTGTAGACCAGGTCAGAGATCTGCCTCTACCTCCTGAGTGCTGGGATTAAAGGAATGTGCCTCTACTGCCCAGCTTGAAGCTTTTATTTTAGTGACTATTTCTTAGTTTTTTTTTTCCTGTTGAATAAAATCCACAGGTTAATCATCCGAGAACAGTCAGTCTATAATTTGAGTTTTAAGAGATTTTAAAGAATTAATGTGTAAGCCGGGCGTTGGTGGCGCACGCCTTTAATCCCAGCACTCGGGAGGCAGAGGCAGGCGGATCTCTGTGAGTTCGAGGCCAGCCTGTTCTACAGAGCGAGTTCCAGGACAGCCTCCAAAGCCACAGAGAAACCCTGTCTCGAAAAACAAAACAAACAAACAAACAAAAACAAAACAAAACAAAAAAAGAATTAATGTGTATGAATTTGTTTTTGAGGTAAAGTTTCACAATGTATCCATGGTTGGCCCAGAATTCATATGTAGACCAGGTTTGTCTCTTGAGTACTAGGATTAAAGGCATGTGATGCCATCCATACCCCAGATGTATCAGTGTTTGACTTGTGTGTGTGTGTATGCACCACATGCATGCCTGGTGTTTGCAGAGGTTAGAAGGATCCCCTTGAACCTGAGTAAATAGATGGTTGTGAGCCTCCATATGGGTGCTGGGAATTGAACTTGGGTCCTCTGCAATAGCAACAAAACTACTGAGCCATCTTTCTAGCCTCTACAATTTAACAGTTTATAACATACCCCATGTTTTGGTGTGTGTGTGTGTGTGTGTGTGTGTGTGTGTGTGTGTGTGTGTGTGTGTGTGTGTGTGTGGTGGAGGTGGTGGTGGGTTTTGGCACGTCTTTACTATGTAGCACAGGTTAATATCTTTCTGCCTCTAGAGCAGCGATTCTCAACATGTGGAGGTGAATGACCCTTTCTCAGGGTCACCTAAGACCATTGTAAAACACAGATGTTTACATTGAAATTCATAACAGTAGCAAAATTAGAGTTATAATGTAGCAGTGAAGATGATTTCATGGTTGGGGTCATCACAGCATGAGGAACCGTGAAAGGGTGGCTGAGAACCACTGGACTAGAGATTTGACTATATGTGTGAGTCACCACGCTCAAGTATACTTTTCAATACACGTGGGTTTATGCTTAAGAAATGCATTGCTTATAGTTCTTTTTCCTGTGCCCTTTCATTCATTCATTCATTCATTCATTCATTCATTCATTTATTTATTTATTTATTTATTTATTTATTTATTGTTTTCTCTTTTTTTTCCTCGTTTTTCCAAGATAGGGTTTCTCTGTGGCTTTGGAGGCTGTCCTGGAACTAGCTGTTATAGACCAGACAGGCCTTGAACTCAGAGATCGCCTGCCTCTGTTTGACAAGTTCTGGGGTTAAAGGCGTAAAGTCACTATGCCTGACCTTCCTGTTTCTTAATGTACAAGTACTTAACATTAGACTTAGGGTAGAAAATTAGCTCCATATTCTTTTTCTTTTTAAAAGTTATTTACTTTTATTTTATGTGAGTTTGTGTTTTGCTTGCATGTGTGTCTGTGTGTGTGTTGGATCCCCTGGAACTGGAGTTACAGACAGTTGTAAGCTGCCATGTGGGTACTGGGAATTGAACCTGGGTGCTTTGGAAGAGCAGCAGCCGGTACTCTTATCTGCTGAGCCATCTTTCCCGTCGTAGTCCCATTTCCTTAATGCAATGACAAATTAAGGTAAGGACTCCTGTTAGTGGATTTTATTGCCCCCCCTCTTTAAGCGTGCAGTGAGGTCTGATGATACTTGGAAATGAATTAAATGAGTTTTTCCGCCTTAGGAGCTTGCTTTCTAGTAGACACTGGTATTGAACTTGTTTGCCTCAGTCTTCTAAATTCTGGGGTTATAGTTGTGTGCCATCATGTCCAACCCACAAAAAATTTTTTTGCATCTACACAATAAATTATTATGCAATTAAATTTCAGAAAAATGGGAAAGAAAGCTAATCCATGCAAAATAAGAAGTCTACTAAGTGCCTTTTAAAGAGATCTGCGAAATTTAAGTATAAGAAACCATGGCAGTTTTGTTTTTACAAATCAGATTTAGTTTAGTGCAACAGTATACAAGAGGATAAATGTTTATTTGAATGTGTGTGTGTTTGTGTGTAAGTGTGAGCATGTAGGAATACATGTGTGCGTGCTTTCCACTTTCATGTATCCTTGTAAAGGTTCGTGTGTAAATAAAGTAGGTTTGCAAAATAAATTTGATATTGCTCTATGGGGTTTTTTTTTCCCCTTTGAGGCAGGGTTTCTCTGTGGCTTTGGAGGCTGTTCTGGTACTAGCTCTTGTAGATCAAGCTGGTCTCAAACTCACAGAGATCCGCCTGCCTTTGCCTCCAGAGTGCTGGGATTAAAGGCGTGTGCCAACATACCCAGCTCATAAAAATTTATTTAAAGAAAGGAATATTAACTAATTAAAAAATTAAGCCAGAATTACAAAGAATATTCAGAGATAATATAATCACTATGCTCTTTACCTTCTTTGCTTTGTAGTGGGACTTCCCCTCTTGCATGCTTAAATGCAATGCTGCATACAAACTCCCGAGGTGAAGAGGGCATCTTCTATAAAGTCCCAGGTAGAATGGGAGTGTATACTTTGAAGGTAAGTTGCTGGGGAAACAAGAAATAGTGAGTGACAATATATAATAATTGAGTCACACGGACAAAATTCTGTTTTTGAGGAAATTATTTCCAGGAAGAAATAATATTTCAACCCTAAAATAAGTAAGTAAATAAATTTTGGGGAGGGAGGTCTTCTGGGAATTGAATTCAGGGTCATCAATACTAAGAAGGCTCCTGTTGTATATATTCTTATTTAAAATAATTTTTTTGAGATTTATTTTATGTGTATCAGCGTCTTGCCTGCATGTACTTCTGTGTGCCACATACATGCAATACTCATGGATTCCAGAAGGGGGTGTTGGATTCCCTGCAACTAAAGTTACAGATGGTTGTTAGCGATTGTCTGGGTACTGGGGATTGAACCTGGGTCCTCTGGAAGAGAAGTCAGTGCTCTTAACCGCTGAGCCCTTTCTCTAGCCACTATTTCAAAAACATTTAAATTACAAATTGGGAGTTATTTTGAAACATACTGCGTAGAGCTATAGATTCTTTACTCATGGACTTCCTCACTAAAGGTTATTATTCCTTTTTTATAATAGAGAAAACTAAAGTTCCAAAGATATAATTTCTTTACCAGTGTTGGCTATATTGTATCAGAACACAAATAGGAACTTTGAGTCGGGTGGTGGTGGTGTACACCTTTAATCCTACCACTTGGGAGGCAGAAGTGGGCACATCTCTGTGAGTTCAAGGCCAGCCTGGTCTACAAAGTGAGTTCCAGGACAGCCAGGGCTGTTATACAGAGAAATCCTGTCTTGAAAAGCATAACAAAGAACAACAACAAAAGAATAGGAACTTTGATCAGAGTTAACTTCTACATTTCTTCTTCCATAAGAAGCTGGCTGATAACTAATTTGTACACTGAAATGGTAATCTTTCCACTTAGGAGTAGGAAGGCCAGTCTAAATGAGCTTAGTAAGTAGGCTAGAGAACTTATTAGCTCATACAGCTAAACATTCATGGGAAATCCAGGCTGGATCCAGCTGATCAAAAGATGTCATCTGGTCTTGGTCTCTGTTCTTTCTTTTAGCTTTATTCTCAGTCAGCCTCTCCTCATCGTATATGAATTCATTCTGCGTCTCCATTCTACAAACTGTAAGTCTAGAGAGACAAGAGTCCACTGACTAAAGCAAGAGGCTCCCACCTCATTAAGATTTGACTTACTTGGTTTGGCCCAACCCATGTGATACCATACATGAATTATGGCTATTTACATATGCATAGAACCATTATCACCCTTGATGTAGGTTGTGTTTAAGCTTGTGACAGTCTGATAATTAAGGAGAGGGTTTGTTTCTCAAAGGAAGTTTATCAGCAAATCAGAGTGAATGTCTGGCAGAGTATTATACCCAAAGAGACATATCCATGGGGACCTCTGTCCCACTGCCTCTTATCTCTGAGCTCATCCCATAGTGGTATTATGGAGTCCACTAACAGTAAGGGCATCTAGCCTGAGGTGCTGAGATGGTTCAGCATGTAAAGGCACTGACAACCTGTTTTTGTCCCCCTGGGCACATATAATTGAAGGAAAGAACCAACTCCCACAAGTTGTCCTCTAGCTTTCATGTGTGTGCTATGACATACAGGTGCCATAATTACACAGTAATTAACACAGTAAATAACATAAAACAAAACACAGTAAATGAACATCTTCTAGGTGTGGTGGCCATGCATGCCTTTAATACCAGTACTCAGCTGGCAGTTGTAGTTATCTCTGAGTTCTAGCCAGGCAAGCCTGTGATGCACAGTGAGATCCTGTCTCAAAACAAAACAAAAGAGGAACAAATGCACATCTAGCAGCTGAATGTAGTGTCACATGGTTATCAATCATAGTACTCAGGAGGTCAAGGCAAAAGGATCATCATATCCAGTTCTAGGTTACCCTGAGTCAGATTGAGCTCAAGGCCAATCTACAATATAGCACAACCCTTGTCTGATTTTTAATCTTAACTTCCTCTGACTCTGCAGTATTTAACTTGTGGGTATTATGGGATTTCAGTTCCAGATGAAGCTGTTACTTTCTTTTTTGATATTTTAGCTATTCTGGATCGTCTGTGATTTTAATTACATTCATTAAATGCATACTGTGCTGTAGAGATGGGGGGAAAAACCTCAAAAGGTATTTTTTATTATTATATAACACTTATTATAGAACACTATAACAGTTCTTCTGATATGAGGTGCTTGGGAGTTTCTCCCACATAACAAGCAGTTTTCCAACTGCAATCAACTAGGTGCCTTTTAATTTAACTCAGGTTTTACACTCTTTGGCTATTATGTGTCCGTCACTTCAGCTGTTAGTTACAAGTCTTTGGGTGTGATCTAAGCGCTGATAGACAAGGTATAATTGATGTTCCCATGTCCTTATTCTTGGATTTGATTAACTTTCTAGAACTGATTATGAAAGATGCTGGGGGGGCACTTTTTCCATTTACTGTAATGTAGATAAAAGACATTCATAAAGTGAGGTGTGGTTATTAAATCGATCTTGGCAAACCAGCCCCAAGCACAAAGTTGATTTTAGCCATGTGAAAGCTCATCTAAAACCCTGGTCTTTAGAGTTTTCATGGAAGATTTGGGATTTGAGCATGATTCTGTCATTGGCAATCAACTTAACCTTCATCCTTGAGAAGTTGGACTAAGAGTTCCAATTTTATAATCACATAATTGTCTCTCCTAGTAGTCAGCCTCCACACTGAGACAGGCCATTGAGGAGCAGACAGTCATCTAAACAGACTCTTAATATTTAATACTTAGGAGGTGCTAACTCACTTAGGTGCTCTGTTTCCTGAACTAGAATCAAAGACCAAATAGGTGAACAATAGGTTTTCCTAATCCTTCTATTGATCAGGAAAGTACAAAAGTTTTGGTGCTCTATATCAAGAACTCAGAGTTGATTGTGGACAGCAGTTAAGAGTACTTGCTGATATTAAAGAGGAACAGGATTCAGTTTCCAGCCTGATGGCTTCTTCTGGCGTGTACAGGCACCATGGTGCAAAACTCTCACACACATAAAATAAATAAAATCTGTAAAGAAAAAAACCTTAGAGTTCAAATAGTATGTCTTATCATATTGTCAAATCTATGCCAGAAATAGAGACTGTTTGATAATCTATAGTTCCTGATCTCGTTAATGTTGACATTTTAGTAATTAAAATATTTCATATTTATGAAATATACTGTGAAACTACCATTATAATGAAACAAAATAAAGATTAGTTTTAGATAAAGGGGCCTAGAAAGTTTGTGTTATTTACTTGTAAGATTTAAGCTGGGTTTATTGAACATATTCATAAAAAGAGTAAAGACCTTCAAGGATAAGTAGTGCAAATGAAAGGACAGAAAATTCTGAATGAATTAGAAAGAGAAAATTGGATTAAATGATAATCACTGGAATAATAATTGATAAACATTAGTTAATTATAGCTTCACCCTGATTTGTGCTCTGTGTTTGGGTGGGGTGCTGAGTAAGTAGATGGCAGAGGTCTTTAAGGAGAACCATGTAATCAAATCTTATGCTTTAAGATTTTCATGAAAAGGAAATTACAGTTTGGAGTAGGAATTCAATTAGAGCCAAGAGACATTTGAGGCATACAACACATTGCATTTGGTATGTGTAAAACAGTGGGTGAGAAGAGATACTTATATTTGGGGCATGAGCCATTGATCCCAGAGGGATCACAAGTTTTTTGCAAAAAGAAGATAATTATATTTGTATTTCAGATACTTGTTGAACCTACAGGTCAAGATGTCTGGCTGGCAACTAACTCTATAAAAGCTGTCCTGCATTTTGAAGGAAGGAATATAAAAATATGGGGTCTGTATTTTAAGAAAGTGTATAACGTAAGAGATGGATTGGAGAGAAATTTAAGTGGAAAATAACTGTTCTTAATCAGTTGGACTTAATGGTCTTGGTTGTATGTCATGTGGTGCCAGTTAGATGTAGGACAGTTTTTTTTTTTTTGGTCTGTCAGTTCACTTTTTAATGTGAGTATAAAAATAAGTATTTGGGACAACAAAGTACAGATGGAAAGAAAATCCATAAGAGAGATAACATTTCCATTATTTGTATGCTTTTTGTACTATGTAAATACATAGTAACTAATATTGAGCTCTCGTAAGGGTGCTGCTGTGAACATTTAGTATTATCATTTATTTTCTATGTGACTTTTTAAGGAAGGCACATTACCCACCTTAGAAAGTGAAGTTGAGGCATGAGAGATTAATTTAGATTGAGGCTGCGTAATTGAGAATAAAGCCAGAAGGCCTTACTTCCCTAGCCTTCCATATGCCATCTCTTCCCTCATATTACCTGGTCGTAGTTATCCTTTCTAGTTAACATGCTCATTATTCAGAGCTGAAGCTAAAGAGATTGATGTGATTCTTTTTTTTTTTTTTTTTTTTTGGTTTTACGAGACAGGGTTTCTCTGTATTGTTTTGGAGGCTGTGGGTCCAGCCCGGCCTCGAACTCACAAAGAACCACTTGCCTCTGCCTCCCGAGTGCTGGGATTAAAGATGTGCGCCACCACCGCCCAGCCTTGATGTGATTCTTTAAAAAAGCAAAAACTGGGTGGTGGCAGCGAACACCTTAATCCCATCATTCAAGAGGCAGACGCAGGTGGAGTTCAGGGACAGCCAAGACTGATACACAGGGAAACCTTGTCTCAAAACAAACCAAAAACAAACAAACAAACAAAACATACAAACAAGGAACAAAACAAAAACTCCTTATCTCGCTGCTATTCATTAATGAACATTGAGGACCCAGTTAGGTAAAATAATATGATAATCTTGTTCTCCTGACTTTAATTCTGTAATTGACTTTAGAATACATAGGGGACCTACACACACACAAAATTATTAGCTTTTTAAACTTGAACATTATATCTTTACTTGGATTTATATCTGTCAGTTTTGGTGTAATTTAAATATACATTGTACCTGCATATGAATGTTGTGTATAAATTTTATCTTCTGGATATAGATGGAAAATAACTTATTTGACTCATAAAAAGGAAGTATTAGGATTTCAGCAAATACTGGTGACTTTACTATCTTATAATAGTAAAAATTAATCAGTTAAGTTTCTGCATTATGTATTAGAAATTTAGTTTCGATTTGCTAAAATGGTGATAATCCTAACAGGATGCCTACATTTTCAGAAAGACGTGCCAGATGGCGTGAAAGAGCTGTCAGAAGGTTCAGAAGAAAGCAGTGATGGTCAGTCAGACTCTCAGAGCTCTGAGAACAGCAGCAGCAGTGATGGTGGCAGCAACAAAGAGGGGAGAAAGAGCAGGTGGAAGAGGAAAGGTAATCCATCCGTCCCCACTGCGGCGGGGCAGTGCTCTGTCGCTCTTCTCGCTCCAGCAGCATGTTGTCCTGGTAGCATAGCGCTCTGTAGTAGTTTCCTCAGGGGTGGAAGTGTTTGTGCTTAACTTGCCGGAGCCGCGCAGAGTGCAGCAGCCATCAGCCTCATGGACCTCTTGGACTGTGTGACTGAGGAATTGTCAAAAATATACTTTTCTGGCTGGGTATGGTGGCGCATGCCTTTAATCCCAGCACATGGGAGGCAGAGGCAGGTGGATCTCTGTGAGTTTGAGGCCACCCTGGTCTATAAAGGAAATTCCAGGACAGCCAGCACTGTTAACACAGAGAAACCCTGTTTCGAAACCAAAATCAAACAAATCTATATCTTTATATAGATACTTACATACACACTTTTCTTTTAGGGGCCGGGAGATGATTGCTCTATGACTAACGAAATATGAAAGCATAAAGATCTGAGTTTGTATTCCTCCCACCTATGAATATATAACACCAATAAAGGGATGAAGGGTAGGCATTTCTCAGGTCCCACTGGCCATGCAGCCTAGTCAGCACCACGAGCTCCAGGTTCATGAGAGGCCCAATCTCAGAAAGTCAGTCTGTCTCTCTCTCTCTCTCTCTCTCTCTCTCTCTCTCTCTCTCTCTCTCTCTCTCTCTCTCTCTCTCTCTCTCTCTCTCTCTCTCTCTCTCTCTCCCTCTCCCTCTCCCTCTCCCTCTCCCTCTCCCTCTCTCCCTCTCCCTCTCCCTCTCCCTCTCCCTCTCCCTCTCCTTTTCTCTCTCCCCCTCTCTCTTCCTCCTTCCTTCTCTCTTTCTCCCTCCCTCCCTTGTGGGTTATCAAAACCAAAAACCATGAAGTTGACAGGGGCAAGGGGAAAAAACCCATGGAGAGTGATAAAGGAAGACCCTTAAAGTGAGCTCTGGTCTCTACAAGTACATGCAGATACCTGCATGCAGTGTCCAGACATTAAAAGTTCTTTTGAATTATACTTTTAGGTGTAAAGTATGGTGTTTCCTTTTGCTTCTGCTCTTACAGATGCACAGACTTGCTCACATCAGGTTTTGTTGGTTTGTGCTTTTTTGCTTACACACTTTTTATTCTTGGCTTTTTGGGACAGGGTCTTACTATGTAGCACTGAACTGGCATTCAGTTGACTGATCATCCTGCCTCTAGCTCTTGGGTGTTCAATTACAGGCTGGAAGCTATGTTTTGGTGTTAGTTATGCTTTCTCAGTCAAGTTTGTCCCACATCTCTTCTTTCTTTTGTCTGTTCTACATTTGTTAGTTGTCCTTTGTAACTTGTATTAGCACATTTTTATCACCCACGTTCTGTTTACTTTGGAATTCACTCTTGGTAGTATGCACCACCATCGCCAGGCATCAAAAATTACATTAAATTTTTTGAGTGTGTGCATGTACACACCTGCATTCATATGTGCATTGGTGCCATGACATTTGCCTACAGATCAGAGGACAGCTTACAGGAGTTGGTTGTCTCCTTCTATCCATGTGAGTAATAGGGAACAAACTCAAGTGGTCAAGCTTGCCGGCAGTGTGTTTTCCAACCAGACAGCCTCACTTGCTCCAGATTGGCCTCATATATTTAGTAAACTGCGTTGGAGATTTCTACATGTGTTTTAATGGCTTATGGTACATTTTCTTGTAGAACTAAATAGTATTGCCATAATTTGCATATAGCTATTCACCAACCAAAAGATGTATTTGTTGCTTCATGTTTTAGCAATTATGAGTGAAAGCTACTATGAACTTTGTGTGTTTTTCTGTGGGCATATCTTGTCTCTGTAAGTTCACAGGAGTGTGACTGCTGGATTATGATGAGAGTGTGTTAAATTGTGTATGAAGCTTTCCCACAGCTGCAGTGAATGGCAGTTGCTGTTGCCAGCAGTTTGTGTTATCTATCAGTCTTCTAGATTTTGGCCATTCTAATAGGTGCATATCAGTATGGCACTGTTGTTGTCATTTGTATTTCCTTGATTGCATTTGATGTAAGTCTTTCTGCATCTGAATATGTTCTTTGGTGAAAAGCGTGCCCTGTTTCTTGGACCATTTTTATTAAAATTAGGATGTCCATCTTCCTTCCTCCCTCCCTCCCAAGTACTTGGCCTTCAGGAGTTCTTTGTTCATTTTGAATACCAGTCTCTCTCTTTTTCTTTTAAGATTAATTTTTATGTGTATGTATGTTTTGTCTGAGTGTATGTCTGTATCATGTGCATACCTAGTGCCCCAAAGATGCCAAAAGAGGGCATTGGGTCCCCTGGGACTAGAGTTATGGATGGTTATTAGCCACCATTTTGGGTGCTGGGAAATGAATCTGCGTCCTCTGCAAGAGCAGCCAGTTCTCTTTATTGCTTAGCCAACTCTGTAGCCTGGCATTATAGTCTTTTATTTGGTAAGTTTTTTCTATATATTTTCTCAAAAACTGACCCCCTTGTCAGTTTCCCCCTCTCCAAATGTGTGTGTTTGGATGTGTGTGAAATGTGATTACATGCTCACACATACCACAGTGTGGAAGTCAGAAGACAGCTTTCAGGAGTTGGTTCTCACCACTTACACCTTGTTTTAAGGTAGAATCTCTTTATTTCTGCTGTTCCCCTGCAGCTTCTGGGCAGTTCCTCTATCTGAGTTAAGGCACCCAGACTCCACTTGTCAGACACAATTGAGATGAAAACATGGTGAAATGGGGCCTTCTGTTGCAAAGCTTTGATGAATCATTTCAGAATACTCCCTGATAGGATGAACAGCTGTGGTTCAGGGTCTTTTATTCTCCTGATCCTGGAACTCCCTCTACAGACCAGGCTGACCTCGAATTCCCAGAGATCTGCCTGCCTCTGCCTTTGAGTGCTGGGACTAAAGGCTGGGCCATCACCACCTAGCTAATCTACAGATTTGGGAAGGATAAAACTACAAGTGAAAGGTGCTTTGTCTTTCTCCACTTCTCTCCACTTTTCTCTATAAGCTTGAGATTTGTAGAACAAGGCCAAGACATCAGATAAGGGAAATAACTAGCAAGATTCATAAACGAGATCAACCTTGAAGGTGGCCAGTCTAAACTGTGAACCATAATCATTGTCTTGGAGCAGTTTTACTTGGGAGTGGAGTGCTCACAGGTTCTCATGTAGCCCAGGCTAGTCTGGAACTGACTATGAGCTCCTAGAAATTCTTTCTTTTTTTGGTTTTTCGAGACAGGGTTTCTCTGTATTGTTTTTTGGACCATGTCCTGGAACTCGCTCGGTAGACCAGACTGGTCTCGAACTCACAGAGATCCGTCTGCCTCTGCCTCCCGAGTGCTGGGATTAAAGGCGTGCGCCACCACCGCCCAGCCGAGCTCCTAGCTTTCTTGCTTTTACCTCCCAAGTGCTGGGGTAACAAGCATCTGACTTTATGCTTGCTTTTTTGTCTTTTGAGACAAGTCTTACTGTATAGCCTTGGTTGGCCTGGAACTTGCTATATATAGAGATGCATATGCCTGATTCATTATTACCTTTTAAGAGTCACATGTGCAGGGCTGGAGTGATGGCTTTTTCCTCTTGCAGAGGGTCTGGGTTCCTTTTCCAGCACTCATGTGGCAGTTCAGAACCATCTGTAAGATCAGTAGAGGACCCAGTGCCGCTTTCTGGCGTCTGTTGGTACTAGGCACCACACAGTGTACATGTGTACATGGAGGCAAAACACCCATTCATGTAACATAAAGGTGTGGTTTTTTTCCTTGTTTTGTAAATTAAAAAAAAAAGCTAAACATGGCGCAGCAGCCCTTTGAGTAATGGCTCTTGCCAATGCTTAATTGCTTGTGCTTTTGTCTGTTAATGACCATGTCAAAACATTTGAGGTAAATTCCGTGTGGTACAGAAATACCTTAATAATCATAATGTTCCATTGTCAGTAGCTCCATTGGCAAATGTGAATAGTGTAACGTTACTCTACATTCTACATAATAATAACTTAATGAGATAATAACAAATTAAACATTGTTTTTGATCTGCCTTTATTTCTCTTGTAGAAATGAGTACAATATTGGCTACTTCTCCTTGAATTATACTATTATAAGATACTCTGTGAAGTTATTGCCTAGTTGTGGATAAACTATAAAACCCGAGAGGAGAGTGGTTTGGAAAGTGAAGTGGGAGATGCATGTGTAACTCATGTTTACTTGAGCAGCTCTGATACTGTCAAGAAATGGATAAGTGATGTGTAAATGCTGAGCTACCAGTAATATAGAATACCAGTTTCTCTTAATGATCTAACTTTTACTATTTTTGGATTATTTCTAGTATAATATCCTTAAAATGTTAGGTATGTGTTACATATTTATGACCTTCTACACTCCGGTGGGAATCAATGTGGCAGGCCTGTAGTCTAATAGGAATAGCTACATCACTCAACAAGGCAGTTCCAAGTTTGCCTGAGGCAGGACTTTGTGTTGGAATGCTTCCTGGACTATCACACATGACTGTCAGCAAGGGATGGGAGAATTGGCTCAGCAGGTACACTCGCAGCTAACATGACCTGAGTTTGAACCTTAGAACCTACAGTAGAAAGAGTGCTGACTTCCTAAGGCTGTCCTCTGATTTCCACAGACGTGTTTCTACACAACAGCTTAGAAAGACAGTTCTAAGCTGAGTTGGCACACATCCAAGCTCCTAGCACTTTGCAAGTGGAAGCAGGAGTGTTGCAGCAAGTTCAGGGTCAGCCTGGTCTACAATGTGAGTTCTAGGCCACCCATCACCATGCAGTGAGACACATTCTGAAAAGATTTTAGCACAAAAATATTGAAAAAACAGTTCCACTTAACAATAAAGCAAACTAATCGTGGCTGCTCATTTTCCTTATTTAGGGCTTTTACTCTCAGTTTGACATCACTATTTCAAATTCAGTATAAGACAGGAAGAACATTGAGATAGTATCAAACCCACTTCCTTTTTATGTGCAAAAATACAGAGCTGTGACAACAAAACTGATACTTTTAGTTG